AACTTTTAAAACTAAATTACACACGTTGCTGTAACAGCAAAAACACAGTAATGGCTCTCCTCTGTTCCACCTGTCGCCTCTGCTGTAATGGCCTTAATGAGCTTTCAGCCTCATCATCGAAAATAAGAGATTATCACATGATGCTTTGTACTGTAAATGTGTTCTTGGAGCTGTGGGTGGGGTGTACCTGCAATCCCTGCTCTGAGGAGCTGCAGGGGAGCTGTGGGTGGGAGCGAGTTGCAGTGAGTGGGTGCCTTCCCCAGAGCTGGGGGCAGACCCAGAGCTCCCAAAATGGGGCAGGGGGTGCAGCCACCACAGTGGTGTGAGTCCCATCTCCGTGCAGGCAGCTGGAAATCCCGTGAAGGGAATGGGTACCTATCCCCATGGCACAGGATTATCCCATGGAGTGAAGTTATTCCAAGCTCGCGTCTTCCCAGCTTAATAACAGGCTGTGAGCTCCACTTTGATCTGCTTGTGTTTTTCACTTGTTCCATATTTAACTGAACTCATCATCATAAGGGCCAGGAACTGCTTCACTTTCTGTGGCAGGCTGGGTTTCCCATAGGACACACCTGCAGAGTGGGTTTCTGGCCTGCCAGAACTGGGAATCCTGTTATCGACAGAGGGAGCACTGGAATCTGGAGTCGGTGGATTCCTTTCCCCAAACATGCAGCTAGACCTGAAAATCCAGCTGCCTGGCTTTTTTTGTTTACTGGTTTCCATGTCTGCTTCAGTGTGTCCTGGGAATGTGTGGCAGGACTCTTCCTTCCATTCCAGGAGGCCCATGGGTGCAACTGGAGCTGGTTTGCCCCTTCCAGAATCTGCGGACTGGAACCCACTTTGCCTCGAGGCTTGTTGTTTTTATCAGTGTTATCCTGTGTCTGTATCCCAAGTGTCCATCCCTTCAGTGCTCTGCTGGACAAGAGACTTGCTGGCTGTGGCCATGGTCTGTCCCACTGGTTCCGTTCTTCTGGCTGCAACCCCACAAACGCCGCTGTTACCCCAAATGCAGCAGAAACAACTGTAATCTGTGGTTCCCACTTGACACAACAACCTCTAATTTGGGATCCTGGTCAGCAGAGGTGACAGAAACTGTCCCTGCTGGCGCTGGGATTCTGCCTTGGGTTAATCACCCGCATGGCTGGGACCCAGGGGCTCAGGAGTCCTGTTTGAAGGTGGTATCAACTTCAGTCTTGCACACAGAGCACCTGGAAGCTGTGCTGACCATTCCAGTCAAGCTTCTTATCAGATGCTTTCAAGAAAGACAAAGAATCTTAAATACTTCAATTTTCACACTGACCCGACCGCACTTGTGCTGACAGTGCCTGCTGGCCATAACCTCTCACATGGCAGGAAAAAACCCACAAGAATCCCCCGAAGGATGCTTTCCCAAAACAGGCTTGAGAAACTTTAAAAACATGCTGGAGGAGGTGAAGGTAATTTGGGTGAGTGTGCAGGTGATATCATTCAGTCCCTTGGCCGGGATCTGCTCCCAGAACTGCAGTGTAGCAATGGCAGTGCATTGTTCTCGTGGGATGCTGACATAATTATGTGTGGCCTTCTAAAAAATCTTAAAAGCTGTCCCTTTGCTTATAATTAAAGACTTTATATGTTTTTTTTAACCTTGTCTTTGCCCATTTGGTTCTGCAGAGAACTCATCCCAAAAAGAGACGTCTCTTTTTTCTCCCTCAAGCAGAGGGACCCAGTTTATGATTCCAGGCACCCTGACTTTTCCAGGGATACCCGTGTTCCTCATTGCTGAGCTCTGCCTGTTGAATTTCTTCCTCTCCAGGCTCTCAGCCTTGAAAAGATTGTTCAGTGAGAGGAGCAAGCAGGATCCCAAAAGGTCTGGAGGACAAGCGTGGTTTTTGGGATGGTGCCACAGCTCGGGATCCCGTCGTGCAGTGCCATCTCCTGGAAAGCCGGGCTGGAGACACATCGCAAGCAGAGCTCCTGGGGGAGCTGCTGGCGGCTTGGCTGCTGCCTCTGATGGCCACAAAGACGATCCTCTGAACACCCAGAGTCCTACACCAAACTTCTTTGTCCCCAGCATGCAGGAGGATGCTGCTTGCCCTCACCTCCGAGGTACCCTGTGGCAGAACATCCCTGCGTGGCTCCTTCCCAGTCTGGATACTGAATACAAATCCCCAGGTACAAAAAGAACAGCAGAGGAGCACAAACATCCAGAGATGTCCCTCCTTAGCTTTAGTTCTGCTTGGTTCCTGTTCAGTTGAATGCCCTGTGTACTTGCTCACCCTGTCACTATCCTGTTCACCTGTTCCTCCTGGTTTTTAAAAGACACTTTTCTCTCTCCTTCCCCAAGTTTGATGACTTCGTCATGAGCCACAACCAAGCCCCTCATCACAGTGCTCACCCTGTGTTTAAAATGTTGTCATGTCCTTTTAATGGGATAAAAATGGGAATGTGGAACAAGCACCTGAATGCTGGCGGCTTGACTAAGCTCTATATTCATCCTGAAAAGACAAGAAAAATGGGTGGTTCCAATGGCAACAGGTTTAGTCCTATGAAACTAACACAGCTTAAATGCTTAGTCACTGAAAAAAAAGCACACTGCAATTTAAAGCCAAAGGCTGGTATTTCAACCATTATTTTAGGCTATTGTGGCATCATTGAGCAGCTGGGAGATTACTGTACTTCAGTAATCCGTCAGACACAGGGAAATAACTCGTGCTCCAAGGTAGGGCTGTAAAAGCTGTTATTTGAAAAAGACCATAATTATGTAAATACAAGGCCAGGAGGTTCAAAAACAAGAGTAAAAGCTGGTGTGACATGTGGCCGTTCACAGCTCTCCTTGGCCCCTTCACAGCAAGGATTCTGTGTTGCAAACTTTTTGTCATGAATCCATTTCTGCCCTGGCATACTCCAATGAACTGAAACAGCCTGTTTACCAAAAATGTATTTTTTTATTAAAATCTGTATTTGTAAAGGAGAGGTCATTACACAAATGAGGTAAACCAACACATATGACATAGTTCTCACTTTAAAAATAAATCTCAATTGAGCAATTGATTTGATTCCACAAAGTCCGAGAGGAAGAGTCAGGCAAGTGTTACTCATGAGGCGAGATGGCAGACAAGGCAGGACAAGGCAGCTGATCTGCCCAGACTCAGCTCAGGTGTCAGTCCCAAGAGGTTGGGACTCTTCCAGGGACCAAACCCTTCTCACTGTGCTGTCTTTTTCTCCCCCATCAGATTTGCAGATGAGAGGAGATGAGTAAAGGCCCAGGGACAGGCAGCAGTGGCCTCTTCACTCCTGCTCTAACCAGGGGTTCCCCATCAGCATTCCCCCCATTAAAGGCTGTGTAAAGGTTTCATTTGATTGTGCAAATCCACTCCCTCATCAGCCCTAAAGGAGACTTAACAGCAAGTAAATACTAGCTCTGGAAAAGTTCCATTTCAAAAGTAATACCTGGCAAGCAACAAGCCCGTTAAGTGTGACACACTTTGCAAGGTGCAGGGAGAGAAAGAATTATGCTTCCTTCTTTTTCTTTTTTCTTCCATGCACGTACAAGTGGAGCTTTAATCTAAAAGTTTATGAAGTCACTGCAAGTTTGTGAGAATCATGTTGACCATCCTGTGCAATTAAGCTTTCTCATTAAAGACTGAGCTCTAAGGCCTGAACACCTCAGAGAAGAGTGGTTGTGATGTCATTTTACCCTGTATAACGGTATAGGACAGTGAGAACCTCAGCTCTGTTTCTCAGGATGCCACCACTCAAGGCCAGCCAGCAGATGAACACAGAACAGCTGGACTCACTTCCAGCTCCCAGGCACTACAGAACAAACACCTCCACCAGCAGAACCAAGTAATGCCCCAAAATGCAGTCCATCAAATCAGTGGCTGAGAAACTCCTAAACGTTGGGAATTCCTGCATGGCTGAAGCTCTGTAGTCCAGGTCCACTTTGATGGATTAAGGTATTCTGGAGGTGACAAACTATGCAGATGAGGCAGAGGTGGAGTTTCACCTTTTACACCCCCCTGAGTGAAACTCATCCAGTCCCTTGGGTATTTAACGCTGCGACAGGAAAGACGTTGCTCCAACATGTGTCCCAGGACAGTTCCTGGTAACCAAGACATGAAACTTTCATCTCATCTGCCAAGGTGACAGCAAAATTTCATAACTGCACGCAGATAAAACATGAGGACTATTTTAGTCCCATTGATATCCTCAGGGGACGTGGGTGGGATTTGGACTGCACGGAGGCTCGGTGCTGGTCTGCAGGGGCTGGGTGGATGTTATGCTGCAGGAGCAGATTCTGTAGCTCTCAGTGCAGAGAGAAGGTTCTACCACATCCGGTGCCACGCTTCCAGTAAATGCTTTCAGCAAGAGCCAGAAATGCATTCACTACAGTTCATGATCACTGTACCTTGGGCAGCTGCAGCACTGTGATATCCTGACAAAACTCTCCACATCAGAAGTCATTTAAAGGCTATAGATCTTGAGAGAGAAAGAGAAAGAGAGAGGTGTCATACTTAGGGGAGCTTTTTTCCAAATAGGAATTAAAAAATAACTTTTTTAAACCAACCTATTGTTTGAGGAACTAAAGCAACCAATGCTAAGTTGCTGATTTATTACACATCCTGCTAAGGCTCTGTATGAGAGTCTGAAAAGGCAGATTAGCATAAGATTAGCAGAGAAAGCTGTTTAGGCTCAGCAAGGCTCCAAGGGAGCAATTCACACTGAAGAGAGCCAGCACCCCTGCTCCCGTGTCCTCTGACAGCACGGGTGTTTTTTTGCAAGGCAGATGTCCCATAAAATCATAGAACTGTTTAGGTTGGAAAAGACCTTTAAGACCATCGAGTCCAACCGTTCCCCCGGCACTGCCACATCCACCACTAACCTGTGTCCCCAAGCGCCACATCCACACAAATCCCTCTGGGGACAGTGACTCCACCACTGCCCCGGGCAGCTTGTGCCAGGGCTTGACAACCTTTTTTTCCCAATATCAACCTAAAGGTCCCCTCCCAGCACTGTTCCTTTCACTGGCTCATACCATCCTGCTGCCCTGCCTGGCCGGGCTCGGCGGTGACTGGCGGGCTGGGCGTGTTGCTCTGCAAAAATCGACGGAAGTCCTTGATCATGGGGCGGAGGACCTGGATGAGGGCGCTCAGCGCCGCCTGCGTGCCCTCCATGGCCTGCGCCTGCCGCTCCTGGGCGCACGCCTGCACCTCCTGGGAGCGGCGGATCATCTGCAGCAGGTCGTTCTGCTGCTCCAGGTGCTGGGCGATCTCCTTCACGTGCAGGTTGGTCACCCGCTGCTCCTGCAGGAGCTTGGCAGAGTTGAGGGCGATGCGGCTCTTCAGCTCCTGGGGCTTGGCCGACACCTCGTGCTGGTGGGCCATCATCTCCAGGGGCGCCTCCGTGGTCACTGTGGCGGGGGCTTCCGTGGTGCAGTACTCCACCACCCCGTCCTCCAGGCTGTGGTAGGTTGTCTCTGCAGGAACTGAGAACAAAGAGCAGACAGGGGGGGTCAGAGGTAGCTGTGATATGGGTTTTTTTTATCTACAGGACTATTCAGTGGATATCACAGGAATACGGCCTGTTCAGTGAGATAACACACAATGGCCAGAAACGCACAAAACGACTTATTTAAGTCTACTCCACCCTCAGTCGGGCTTCCTTCTAGGCTGTACAATCCAAAGGAATAGGGAATGCCTTATCTGTCTAGACAAAATCATTTCTTAACCTCCAGTTCAGAACAATCTCTCCAAGCAGCATTAACTGGCTGACGTAATGGCAAAGACAAGACCCAGAATGGCCCCTGCCAGCAGGGCAGGACAGCTGCTCTTTGGGATGCTGCACACTGGGAAATCAGCCCTGGAGATGCTTTTCCCCTTGTTGTTTCCCTCTTTTCGTCCCCAAAGAGGAACTGACAAATCTCTAAGGTGCAAAGGAACCTCGGTTCTGAGGAACAGCTCTCAAAGCTGACTTTCAGCACATATGTGTCTTGCAGCCACTCCCATACAGCACAAGGGCAGACTGGGGAATGGCATTTCATCAGAGATGGTG